TAATTTGAATTTAAGCTATTAATTAAATTCCTACATTTAATTGTGGTTTAAACCAACCCTTATGGTAGCTTAAATTTAATGTATAAGTAAGTTTAAATGAATTTATATTTGCATAAATTCTTAATTTAAGCAAGAATAGTTCAATTTAATTTTCATTTTACTTAAAATTTAAGTGCAATTAAGCAAATATAAATACCTATTTTCAAAGTGTCTTTTAATTTAATCTTCACTATACTAGACATTTAAGAAAATTTAATCAAACATTATATAGATATTTTGAAAGTTTAATTTTAAATAATCTTCATTTTACTAGACATTAAAGAAAATTTAATCAAACATTATATAGATATTTTAAAAGTTTAATTTTGAATAATCTTCATTTTACTAGACATTTAAGTCTGAATTTAAGCAAGTTTATTTTAATTCATATTTACAAAATAAATGAATTTAAGCAAATATTGAATTGCTATATTACAAGTTTAGCTGCATTTAATCTTCACTTTATCCAACATTTAAGTCTTTCTTTAGGAATAAATGTTTAGTTTAACAACAACTTGGACTTTGCTCATTTTTGAAGGCCGTACGGTGACCTAAAGTAGTTAAATTCTGTGTCATTTGGTCCCTTGTGGAGAGTTGTCTCATTGGCAATCATACCACATCTTCTTTTTTTTTATATTATCTGAAATTAAATTTGAATAAAAGTAGGATTCAAGAAAAAATACTGAATTTAAATATTAAAGCAGCTTTTCTTTTAAATCGGGATTAAACTTTTTGATCTATTTGTGTCTGATTTGCTTAAGATTCTATGTATAATGTATACAATATAGATACTATGGGTTTGAATCCATAAAATGTATATACTTTTTCAATGAAGCAGGCGAGTTACTTTGCCTGCTTAATATTCTGTTGAAATCCACATTATGTTTTGTACTTGCAAACATATTGTTATTCAAAGGTACAAAAGTAGTTTACCGGCCACTTGTCTTGAAACTTAACCATATTAACAGACCCTTAAGAACATGAAATGATAAAATTAAAGCAGTACTATATTAAAATACATGTACTTGTTTAGTTTTCTTCCAATATATACCCTGTAATTTATCAGTTTTTCTTGCATTTTTTGGAATGATTGTTGTTGTCTTGCTGAAATTTACCCCACATCTGCCCTGTTCTTTATACAAATATGCCATCAACATCAACTAGTGTCTTTTTTTCTTTGTCAGAAATAATAAGAATAAAACAACAAAGTAAAGTTCTAATTTAATTACTAGCCACAACAGTTATAACTTCATTTTGGAATATATACCAGCTAGATCTGACTGCATTGTAAGCCATTCATCCGAAACAACATAAAACATCTTTTCATTTGAACTTCATTAAATTAATTCTATCAACAAATCAGAATATAGAACATGAGTTTTGGAGTTGTCTCTCTTTAATAATTAAATAAATTCTGTTGACATGGCACAGTTGAATATTCTGATAAATTTGTGTGTACTCATCAATAAAACAATTAAAAGAAAAAAATCAGAAATAACCTCATCAGTATAGTCAGTTTAATTTTCATTAAATAAAAAAGTCCTGTAATCAGTGGGACATTTTTTTAAAGAAAGATCTGTGAAAAAACTTATTTTATGGAATTACCAATACTGTAAATCAGATATTAACCTTTCATGACCTTTCAGCAGGGATGGGGTAATCGTAATCTGTAATCGTAATCGATTGTAATTGATTACATTTTTCCAAGTAATCGACAGTAATCTGTAATCGTCAACATTTTCGATTACATGTAATCGTAATTTAATCGATTACAGCAAAAATTATCCTGTAATCATAGATTACTTTTTGATTACATTTCGATTACTTTAGCAATATAGTTTGACAAAATAGAACCTAGTTTAGATGAAAATTGACAACTGCATGTATTCTTCATTTTATGGTACAGATTAAATAAAATGTATAAATAGGACTTGAGATTTCAATCAAATATCTTATTCAGCTTTATGTTTGCCTCAAAGCTGCCTTATGTTCAATCAGATTTCCTGACAAATTATACTGTATTTACAGCTTTTCATACAAATGACTTACAATTTTTGGTAAAACTTAAAGATCTTCAACATATATATGTGTATATATATAAAATGAAAAATAGAAAAATAGCTTAAGTCAAGTTATTTACTACATATACATTGAGGGAAACAGCTTGATTGTGTAAAAATGTTCTAAAGCATGAATATCAATAAGAGATTGAGTATTATCTTGAAATAGATCAACCTTTGGTCCATGATATAATGTTATGAAATTAGAATTAAGACAGGTTTCAAAGACATCTTGACAATGAACCCATGCATTTATAATCTAGTTCAATAAAAGAGACTCATTTACTTGTATCCCATTTTGACAATAAAAATATATAGTGTTTATGAATTTAAATAGAGTATAAAGAAGTCTCAACTGTGGTTTTAGCCTTTCTGTTCAGATGATCAAAGACATTTAATGAGTGACATGCATTATAACTTTGTTTTGATTTCAATTATGTCTAATCATGCTAATGAAGTATAAGATTTACATTATTTGGCCCTAGGATATAAATATTACTCCATTGACAGCTTTATAATCTATAATTAAGAAGATTATTCAAACAAAAACATAAGTCCGTGCATTTAATTAGTTTTAAGTATTCACCTGTCAAATTATCAGATATCTAGACAAATTATAACACTATTATTTTAAAGTTTTAATTTTTATAGTAATGAACATTATGAAATTATCATCTAAAAATTCGAATTTATAATCTGCCAATAAAGAGTTAAACGAGCAACAAAATTTTAGTCAGTAAGACAGTATGTCATAAAATATGTGCAAGATATGAAGCAAATGACCCATAATAAAAAAATGTGACTGGTGCATTGGTGGAAGTCAATGCAGGAACTTTATCACCACTCTCTATTGTTGACCCATATTTCAAGAACTTGCAATTTATTTGGTTTATCGGTCTAGACAGCAACTGTTTAAAACAGGACATTTAGAAGCAGTGATTGTGTAAAGTTCTTAATTTTCACTAACAAACTCATTGACTAGTATAATTGTTGTAAGCTTTCTTTAGTTATCTTAAAAAAAATCAGCATGTAATTGACAGTAATCGAAAAGTAATGTAATTACTTTTGATAAAGAAATCGATTGTAATCGATTACACACGAAAATCCGTGTAATCGCGATTACACAAAAATCATTCATGTAATCATCCCTGCCTTTCAGCCAATAGAAAAAAACAAGCAAATACAAATATTCACATGCTTATTATACTTAGATCTTCTTTTCATTTGAAATATCAAGAATGTTTGGAAATTGTGAGAAAAAAAGTCAGCTAAAAGCAATGAATGTGAAGATAAATAAAGATAAGACTGTTTCAGTGAGTAGAATGGAATCTTATTTTTACTTTTTGGGAAAACAATTTGATATATATGAACAAAAATCATATTAAAACAATGACATAAATATTCAAACAATCTCACCATACCACAAAGGTTATAACAAACAATTATAAAAAAGGAGTTACTTACCCTAGATCAGAGAAGTACAGAATGTCCTTGATATCAAAGCTATATGTTTACATGGATTATTTTGAGTTAGGCTACTTGTATTTATCATAAATGAGGTTCTTAATTTGATATCTTATGTAGACAAGACAGATAAAATATGTTACAAAGTAATCACTTACAATTCATTTTGTACTATCAAACTTAAAGCAGATAAAAGTACAAAGCAAATAAATTTTACTGTCATTGAAATATATTTTGTTATAACTAGCATATGACACATACAGTCACCCATCAGATTATACTATGAGTATGCACAACACAGATATTTCCACGCCCCTACATTGTAAATCACATACAACTCCATAATTGTACTTTAAAAACCTTGCAAATGAAATACATTTGTAATTTACATTGAATTAAAAATGTTTGAGTTACTTCTCCTAGATCAGAAGAGTCAAGTATGTCCTTTATAAATTCTACTCTGTTGTTAAAGCTATATTAACATGTTTTATTTCTAGATGGGATACTTTTATTCATCATAAAGGAGGTTTTGAATTTGAAATCTTATGTAGATAATGGTTGATAAAAATGTGTAGTAGCGTAATGAATTACAATACCATCAAGCTAAATTAAGATAAAACTTTCCAAAGAAGATTTATTTGCAAATGCATTTACTTCATTGAAGTATGTTTTTAGAACTAACAAATGATACAAAGTCACCAATGACGTAAATGCACGACACACATTTTCCCACACCCCAGCATTGTAAATCAGTAACAACTACTTAATTGTACTGTAATTATAACTTTAAAAACTTGTTGACAGGGATATTCAAGAAACAAATCCAAAATGTTTGCACTTAAAAATGTTTCAGTTACTTCCCCTAGATCAGAAAAGAACAGAATGTCTTTTCTGCATTCTACCCTATTGTTAAATCTCCATTTACAAATTACATGTAGCATAAATTAGGTATTGACTTTTATATTTTATGTAGATTAACTAGGATAAAAATATGTTACATTTATAAAAAATTACACTACCATCCAATTAATTGCAAATTAAAGTACACACAAAATTAGTTATACTGCCCATCAAAATAAATATTGTCATAACTAACAAATGACATAAAATACTATTTTGTTGAATACAAACAATACATGTATATAAGATTTCTGACCTCAAAAATATTTATAATCAGAATAATTTGAAATTAAGAATCACCAGTTAATATTATAATTTCAATTTGAACTAGGCGTGTAATTGTCATTGAAAATAAAGTAGATAAATTTAATACTTATAATTTCATTTAAATATATACATGTGTATAGCAAGTCATTAAAATCATTTATTAACATACATATTTTGACTTTTTGATTGAAAGCTGTTGAACTACAGGCAATTTCTCTTCTATCTTGAAAGCTATTGAATTTCACATTTATAATATCAACTTTACATGTATTCATTCAAACTAGTTAACTCAAAGAAAAATTATAAATATCTCCCATCATTTATACAAAAAAATGTTTATAATTCATCTTATGTATAATGTATGTGTGTATCAAATAAAACTATTTCGTTAAAGTGGAGTTACCTCCCCTATATGACAATAATTGATACTTGTGTTAGAAAAATAATTATTGATAGTAGAAACCTAATTGAATGAATAAATCACCATGTATGTCAGGTACTTTTTTAAATCTTCAAAATTTCCAATTTTCAACCACTTTAGTTGAAGTTTTTTTCCTAATGAGCCATTGATATAATCTGGAAGCAATATCTTCTTAGCTTCAAAGTGTTTTTCTTGGTACCTGAAATTAATAAATGCATACATTTAAATATTAAATATAATGCAGGTTATACATGTGAAAAAATATATAGCCAAACATGTATGTTAGTTTTTTTCATGAATGATAATTTTGGTAATACAGATTTGCAGGTAATCTTATATATTAATGCTTCTTTATCATCAGGGCTCGACAAAAACGCTTGTCCGATTGTCCGGTACCAGAGGAAAAAAAGGTCGGACAAGTAAAAGCTATATCAAGCTTGTCCGACGGGACAAGTAAAATTATTCTGCAGAAAATAAATTTAATCCAACTTTGATGAAAAAGTAATCATAAACAAAAAACAAGAAAAGAAGATAAAAACAAGTATTAATTTGACATGTTTACTTGCAATCGATAATTTAAAAACAGGTTCTTTGTCAGGTACTTTTTAACAGGTAAAAGGTATACTATTCTCGGAAACCAGTCTTACTGATCCGAATAAGCGATGCGCTTTGTAGATAAGGTAACTTTACAAGACAGTTGTCACCACCTTAGAAACGAAAGGATTCGTCTCCAAGTTTTATAGACAGTTTGGCACCGTAGGAGACATATTTAATAGACATGATTAATAGACAGTTTGGCAACCCAGGAGACATTTCAGGACCAAGACAAATCAGTACCTCTTTTCCTATCTTGTTCTGTTGCTTTGTAATGCATACCTTACCGGTATTTTTTTTAACAAAAATATTTTTTAAATAAAAATGAAGAAATTATTCACCATAAAATTCACGAAATTATATTTGATCATATGTAAAAAAAAACAATACTTGCAATACGGTGACCTATAGTTGTCAATTTCTGTGTCATTTGGTCTCTTGCAGAGAGTTGTCTCATTGGCAATCATACCTCATCTTTTTTTTTATTCATTGCATTTGAATAAACTTTTTTAATCTTAAAGAACCAGGATACAAATCCAATGAGTGTACATTGTCAAGCCTATCAGACGGTGCCTCATGTGCAGAGTCTACTTTGGCATTAATGAAAACTAGAACCTAAGTCATGCATCGGACAGACTTGTATAACAAAATTATTTCTCTGCAACAAACCAAAACTGACCATATTTCCACTTTAAATTGTAAATCTAAGAGTGCCAGCATGTCATCGTTTTATTCAAAATATTGAATGACAAACAAATTTCAGTGTTTTCATACCTCGGACTGACTCAAATAACAAAATTATTTGTCTGCATCAACGAAAACTGACCATATTTACATTTATTATGTTAATCTTAAAGTCTCATAGTAAATTAGTTATATTTTTATGTCAGGATGGACTGTATAATACAAATGTCAGCAATATATGACCACAATGACTACAAAATTTTGTTAGCATCAATTTAAAATGCCAGCATGTCTTCTTTATATTCAAAATAATGAATCCTTAACAAATTTCAGTAGTTTTCATGCCTCAGACTAACTTGATTAACAAAATTATTTGTCCTCATCAACCAAAACTGACCATATTTACACTTTATAATGTAAATCTTATACATGTAGTCCCATATTAAATCAGTTATAATTTTTAATTTGAGGATGGACTGTATAATACAAATGACAGCAATATATGACCACAATGACTACACAATTTTGTTCGCATCAATTAAGAGTGCCAGCATGTCCTCTTTTTATTCAAAATATTGAATCATAAACAAATTTCAGTGTTTTCATACCTGTGACTGACTCATATAACAAAATTATTTGTCTGCATCAACCAAAACTGACCACATTTACACTTTATAATGTAAATCTTATAGTCCCATTGTAAATCAGTAATATTTTTATGTCAGAATGGACTGTATAATACAAATGACAGCAATTTATGACCACAATGACCACAATATTTTGTTCGCATCAATTTAGAGTGCCAGCATGACCTTTTTTTATTGCAAATATTGAATTGTAAACAAATTTCAGTAGTTTTCATGCATCGGACAGACTCGTATAACAAAATTATTTCTCTGCAACAAACCAAAACTGACCATATTTCCACTTTAAATTGTAAATCTAAGAGTGCCAGCATGTCATCGTTTTATTCAAAATATTGAATGACAAACAAATTTCAGTGTTTTCATACCTCGGACTGACTCAAATAACAAAATTATTTGTCTGCATCAACGAAAACTGACCATATTTACATTTATTATGTTAATCTTAAAGTCTCATAGTAAATTAGTTATATTTTTATGTCAGGATGGACTGTATAATACAAATGTCAGCAATATATGACCACAATGACTACAAAATTTTGTTAGCATCAATTTAAAATGCCAGCATGTCTTCTTTATATTCAAAATAATGAATCCTTAACAAATTTCAGTAGTTTTCATGCCTCAGACTAACTTGATTAACAAAATTATTTGTCCTCATCAACCAAAACTGACCATATTTACACTTTATAATGTAAATCTTATACATGTAGTCCCATATTAAATCAGTTATAATTTTTAATTTGAGGATGGACTGTATAATACAAATGACAGCAATATATGACCACAATGACTACACAATTTTGTTCGCATCAATTAAGAGTGCCAGCATGTCCTCTTTTTATTCAAAATATTGAATCATAAACAAATTTCAGTGTTTTCATACCTGTGACTGACTCATATAACAAAATTATTTCTCAGCATCAACCAAAACTGACCATATTTGAACTTTATAATGTAAATCTTATAGTCGCATAGTAAAAAAGTAATATTTTTATGAAGGATGGATTGTATTATACAAAGGATGGCAATTTTGGAACACAATGTTTACAAAATTTCGTTCCCATCAATTAAGAGTGCCAGCATATCCTCTTTTTATTCAAAATATTGAATTGTTAATAAATTTTAGTGTTTTCATACCTGTGACTGACTCATATAACAAAATTATTTGTCTGCATCAACCAAAACTGACCACATTTACACTTTATAATGTAAATCTTATAGTCCCATTGTAAATCAGTAATATTTTTATGTCAGAATGGACTGTATAATACAAATGACAGCAATTTATGACCACAATGACCACAATATTTTGTTCGCATCAATTTAGAGTGCCAGCATGACCTTTTTTTATTGCAAATATTGAATTGTAAACAAATTTCAGTAGTTTTCATGCATCGGACAGACTCGTATAACAAAATTATTTCTCAGCATCAACCAAAACTGACCATATTTGAACTTTATAATGTAAATCTTATAGTCGCATAGTAAAAAAGTAATATTTTTATGAAGGATGGATTGTATTATACAAAGGATGGCAATTTTGGAACACAATGTTTACAAAATTTCGTTCCCATCAATTAAGAGTGCCAGCATATCCTCTTTTTATTCAAAATATTGAATTGTTAATAAATTTTAGTGTTTTCATACCTGTGACTGACTCATATAACAAAATTATTTCTCAGCATCAACCAAAACTGATCATATTTGCACTTTATAATGTATATCTTATCGTCGCATAGTAAAAAAGTAATATTTTTATGTCAGGATGGATTGTATTATACAAAGGATGGCAATTTTGGAACACAATGATTACAAAATTTCGTTCGCATCAATTAAGAGTGCCAGCATGTCCTCTTTTTATTCCAAATACATGTATTGAATCGCAAATAAATTTCAGTAGTTTTCATGCCTGAGACTGACTAGAATAAGAAAATTATTTGTCCGCATCAACCAAAACTGATCATATTTGCACTTTATAATGTATATCTTATCGTCGCATAGTAAAAAAGTAATATTTTTATGTCAGGATGGATTGAATCATACAAAGGATGGCAATTTTGGAACACAATGATTACAAAATTTTGTTCCCATCAATTAAGAATGTATTCTTCTGACGTTTCAGTCTCGTTGAAATCTCGTTCTAGAATTATTTCCAAAACATGTGATACAAGTGGAAAATAGCAATGAATTTAAAAAATATCATAATCAAACTGAACTCAGTAAAAAAATTGTGTATTTACAATAAGTAGTTTCTGAGTAATAAATTTTTCAAATTTTATTACCAATCAAGTCAGTCTTTTTAGCCAATTTTTTGAGAAAATGGTTGAGGGGTACAAGAAATGTTTTACCAGAAACAGGTACTAATACATCCCATATCACTTTTTTGTTTTCAAATTTCTAAGATATGTATTTTTCAATCATTTATAACAAAGAAGTTGAAATAATGAATCCTTAACAAAAGTATTTTGTTCTTAAAACAGAGAAAAATCATAAATTTACAAAATTGACAGCATGGTAAATTTGACACGAAAAAGCATCAAAATATGATAAAACTTTCTTATATTAACACCTACCTATAGTTTTTTTAAGTTAAATTTATATAGATTGGTCAACTTCATCGTTATTGAAAGTATGAAAAAAAGTGTAATTGTAGAACTGTGATTTTTGTCACGATAATAGCCCAAAAATGGGCAAAAACTGCTGAAAAATGGGAAAATCATCAAAATTGGCTACTTTTAAAGGGCCGTAGCAAAAAAGGAATTGCACCACCATAAGATTTTTTCTTCACCAATTTTTTTTTACAGTCATATAATCCCAAAAATCAGGTTAAGAACAAAAGTTTAATTCTAGTAATTTTTGGCTCCTCAGAGGTGTAAATCCTTAAGAGTGCCAGCATGTCCTCTTTTTATTCAAAATATTGAATTGTAAACAAATTTCGGTGTTTTCATACCTGTGACTGACTCATATAACAAAATTATTTCTCAGCATCAACCAAAACTGATCATATTTGCACTTTATAATGTATATCTTATAGTCGCATAGTAAAAAAGTAATATTTTTATGTCAGGATGGATTGTATTATACAAAGGATGGCAATTTTGGAACACAACGATTACAAAATTTCGTTCGCATCAATTAAGAGTGCCAGCATGTCCTCTTTTTATTCAAAATACACGTATTGAATTGCAAAAAAATTTCAGTAGTTTTCATGCCTCAGACTGACTAGAATAACAAAATTATTTGTCTGCATCAACCAAAACTGACCATATTTACA